ATATATATGGAGACAATGGGTTTACCGAGAAGTGACATAGTTTTACGGCAGTGAAGCGCCAGTGTTATCTTTTGAAGTTTCTGTAAGTGATGATGACATCTGACACATATCACTTTTGAGTAGCCGTTAGTCTAACTACCAGTAGTTTGTCAATGTTTATAACCTATCATTTTGCCTCATTTCAGCTACTGGAGCGTCACACGAACTAGACAGAAGTGTCGTCGCGGCAAAATTTTTCGGGGTTGCGCCGTAATTCACGTGCCTTTGAATGCATTTTAGCTGGTCACAATGATTTTTCGGCGGGATGTCAAACATCGCATTGCGAAGAAATTGCTAGAGAATGTGCCGAATAACCACTTCCTTCCATATCCTTACCAGGTACGTTGTGTATAATCACCTCTAATATATGAAGCCTTGTCGTATTTTGCGGGGTACGCGGCCAGAATGAGGAAGCGAACTATTTGCCTCCTTCGAGGGACGTAGGTGCTCACACAAAAGTCTATCAGGTCTCTGAAAATTGTACAAAATTTGGGGGGGGGGGCTTCAGGCATTTTTTTCGTTTGTTCGAAGTAACATCTGATCAGCTTCGTGGGGCTGTGTTATAGGTACTCTGTAAACCGTATATGTTCCATTAACCTTCACCTAAACATTCTTCTGCTTTGCAAATCAGATATTTTGAATTTTTGATCAGCTGAATACCACATACTATCATAATTTGTAGTCCTATTGCTGACTTTATTGTATTTGTTCGTTCGTCAAATTGCCTTCAGTTGAAAGGACTTGGTCACCCCAAAGGGATTTGTACTGCACAGTGAAACCTATAAAATCTCGTATAATCACCACCCTTAAGATGGTGGTCAGCCTTCAGTGCTCTAATGATCCCACGGACTAATCCGTCTGGACCCTCGTTCTAAAAATTGTAATGATGCCAGGAAAGCTGAATGGGACCGTCAAACTAAGAGCATCGAGACCTTACACTACTGCGGCCTGGAGGTAAAGTTGTGGTCTCCTCTGCGATGGGAGTGTGAATGCAGGCGACCAGCATGTCCACATTTTGAGCCAGCTTTGGGACTGGCAGATCTTTGGTTCGAACCCAACCTCAGCATCCCACCTGCTTTTGTCTAGGCTTGGGCAACATGGTAGTATCCCAGCCGTCGTGCCTCCTTCCGTTAGCATGGCAGCTAGGCGCCGAATGACAATCTTCATATTTACGAAAGCATGGATACCGGCTTCCTCCATGGGAGGAGGTAGTTGAAGAGCTTGGACCTGAAAACCATACACTCCGGTCTCTAAACGGTTAACCGTGACCGTCAGTTCATCACTCATTGTAGTGGAACCACCGAGAAGTATCATCTGCCCGCACAGTTCTTTGTCCGCCGATGTCCTTCCCACAGCCCCTTCCCATTCTACAAGCAAACGTCGCTGCACCATTTGCTTGTCAGTTGCTTGCCCAATAGTAATAAACAAAATAGTGCTATGCTAAATCCGCGAGATTCTACATGCGAACTTTCAACATCCGTACTGTATGTCAAATTGGCAAGCCGGAGTGTTTGTCTAGATCTCATCCTTAAAATTAATGTATGCCGAAGCACGAATAGAAGACTTACGATTTGGTATGTGCTTCACACCTGCAAAGTGTGGAGTGTTGATGCTGGATAGGTTAGGCTATCGAGGTAACAGACAAATTTGCATGTAGGAAGCCTTATCTGTCGCGACTAACTAACTAAAGACGACATTTTCATCTAAATAGGAAAACCCAGAGCGGCTTTTGTGAACCTGCATTACCTGTGGCGTAGGCATGAAGGGTCGAGTTTACAATGCTGCCGTGCGCTCCCTCCTGTCAAATGGTTGCGGGCATGAGAAACCTGGCTGTTGTGCATGAGGACGTTGAAAAACCTGCACTGTTTGACGGTGTCTACGGAACATTGTCCAAGTTTGGTTGGAGCATGGAATCGGTAATGCTGAAGTACGTGGATTGGTTTTCAGAAGAAATAACTCTTTCATGATAAATGAACGGGTCACGCCACATGGGTCGAGCTGATTTCGCCACGTGCTTCGTAAGACAATTGAGCGGCTTCGTTGGAGAACCTTTTTCGCGCAATGACGCGATGGGTGAACAACCAGGAAAGGTCAAACAAGGTTTTGGCAACAAGGTACAAAAGCCGTTACCACCAAACTCAGCTGCGCTGGTTATTTCCTGGTGAGGGTCTCTGAGATGTGACACACCATTGTTTAGAGCCCGTCCTGTTACTTGAAATTTTAAGATTTATTATTGTTGTCATTATTACTATCAGAATAACACAGAGAGTCTATCTTAAGTTGCGTGCTGTTGGAACACGAACTCGAAATGGGAATAGTCTAGCTGTCCGATGAAAAACGCTGAGAATATCTATATAGTTCTGTTATTGCTTTTATTTGGCGCTGATTTTACACTACTTCCTTATGTGCCAATAAAAAATCAGGTATCTTTTCCATGAGTACAGTTAGATTCTGAATGCATTATCTGATTAGCTTTCTGAAACTACCGGATCGATCTGGGATGGAAATCATTGTTCAATAATCTGACAAGTGAACGCAACAGGCCATCACGTTAATTTCTTATCAGTATTCTACTGCTTTTGTTATCGTTCCCACGACCTAACCGGGAACAGGTTTCTATTATTCCGCAAACGAACTGTTGGATTTGACGCAAAAAAAGTGGGATCAAGAAACCTCCAAAACTAGCGCTCTTTTAAACATATCGAGGTTTATTCGACCTTATGACACTCGTCTATAGTATCCTGATACTTCGGCAGCTACTTATGCCGGCTGCTCTTAGTTTTTGTTTGCATAATGCTCGAATTTTAACAGGAAGGCAACTTCAATACCCTTTTGGGACATCTGGACTCTTCAGCTGAATTGTGAGCCCCATGGGGTCCATGAGGTGACCTCTTTTAGGTCAATATATCTCAGAAAAAATTAGCAAGGAAATCTCTTCTTGAACCCTCCTAAAGATTAGCTTATCTTTGGATGGGTTTAATTCAGCTAAAATCTCAGATTCAGGTAGTACGTTTCTCAATAGAGACATATTTATCTATTGATTTAGTGGTGTCCACTACGATGTTTGAATAGGTACGGACCGTTTAGTTCCTTATCGGTGACCAGCGTACCTGAAACGGTAGTCGTTAGCCTATTTTGTGTCGCACCACTTGTCTGTAAAGTTCTACTTTCCTTCACCTAGCTCGATCTGCTTGATACCGCCTACGAACGGAACACCATCATATGTCTCTCAAATGAGCTGACGAAAAGTTTCATAACTTTGAGTCTGATCCGTGAAATGGGTTACGACCACTTGGGCAAGCGTGCACTCTACATTACCCAAGAGAAAAATATTCTCGAGACAGCTCATTGCTTGGCCCGACATACAGGTCTTTCAGTCGTTCATTTCCAGCACAAACAACCATTTATCGGCTGGCGTTTCTGCGACTGGACCAATGAGCTATCGCGTCACCACGTGACTGTCATGTCTCCATGGCTGATACCTTGCGTGCTTTCCGATACCTCACCTGACGAGTTTCAAGTCTTCCTCCTAGAGGTGAGCTTTCCATGAATATTATTCCACTCACTGTCTCCATGATAGGGATGGAGTTATAGCTTTAGCCACCAATAGCATCTAGGCATTTGAGGAAATCACCGCCTTTCCTCCCTTCGTAAGTCGTCATGTTTTTTACGCTCCCTGAATCGGTTGGTGCCGGAGGGCGGTTTTTGACAGTTCTGCCGTAGGCGAATGGAATTAGCTCGTGGCATGAAATGACTGGTTTTCTAGGATGCCGCAATTAGGACTCATCTTCCAGTCTCCACACCTTTTGTTTTGATTCGATAAGTAACAGATGAAGAACAGTGCAGAGCGGATAACTCCAGTAGCATTTTGCTGTCAATCCCACTTTTCTGTCAAGACCCCCATTGCTGAATTTTGGCCATTAAAAGACAATGGGGTTGAAAACCAAATTTGTCCCTACTGAGCACTCTTGTGCTTTTCATAAAGGAAACTACTCACAAGGTTGCTGAAAACTCTTCGACTCTTGTGCTTTATTTTTGTACGGCGAAAGTTCGGCTATGCTTCCGTGCGTCATGAAGTAGTTACTTACAGAAGCTGTCCAAGCAAGACTTAATATATCTTCCAGGTCCAAAGGCAAGCAGTTAGAAGGTCGAACGACATAATTAATTGTCTGTTTTAACTCGAAGTACTGTGTCAGTTTAAGTAACGAAGGTGCGAAAATGGTGGAATGACTAGAAGTCATTGCACTCATTTGACGGCTGTTTTGGAGATAAATTGTGGAATGATTAATTAGTTCCGAACTGAGATAAATTCGGTGATTAGACGTTCGTGAACAGCATATTTTTGCTGGAGTGTCTAACATTATCGGTTACTTTGGAGGTGGTCCATCGTTAACTGGCCTCATATCGCTAGTGTTTTGTGGGTTAAATTGGTCTGTGGGTGATCAAAGGTACTGTTCCAATAGAGGTTGGTCAGAAAGCTCCTAAATATCTAGTTCCTTATTTCACTCAAACTCCGGGAAGATGGATCGTTTCTGTACTCATGAGGTTCTGATGGAATCTTGTAAAAGTGATATCTTCGAAATCTTTTGTTTTATTCGGCTCTTTGTACAATCGTCCTCAGTGTGCACAGCAGCAGGGAACTCACCTGAGAAGATTGGCCAGTGACCTTTTCTCGGCGTTAGATTCCGAACGTAATTGAGTCCACCCTGTTCACCGAAGCTGAAAATGCCAGCCGTTGTTGGTTTGGATTCTGAGTTAATCGGATCTCCTACATGAACCATCAATAAACCGTTAACCACTTTGTCTTACTCGGTATCCGATTTTGTGCTTTAATTACCACTAAATAAAGAAAGTGAATCGGACATCAGCATGGGTCACCCTGGAACAATTACTTCACCAGGAGCTTATCGGTTTTCAAAGAACTGCTGTGCTGGCTTTCTCAGGCCAGCTATCTGCTAACATAGTGGTGTTTATCTTCATCGATGTTAGAAGCACATGGCTAAAAATAGGCGAGCCTTGGTGTATGTGTACAGTCCTTTGCATGCTCATGTGACTTTTTGGTCCTAAACCACCCGTTCGCGTTTGACGATGTTGCGATTGACGTTACATCTTACGCAAACTGTTCTCTATTATCTTTTTTCTGGCTTCGTGACTTCTCGAGCCATCTACACGGTCATTGTTTCATTTTCCAGGTGTACAGTAACATGGTTTCAGTTTAAAATCAAAAAGCGTGTATTTGTTCACTACCTTTCCTTCGGGCAGATTTCCGTCCTCTGTGATACTTGTTGTCCTCTTTCCCCTTTCCTCTTCAACTTTGTGATTGATATGCTGCTTAAAATTTCTCTGCCTGCCTCTGAAACCCCGGGAGTCGAAATGCTCCCAGGACGTTTCCTCACAGACATTGAGTACGCGGACGGTAATGCTCTCCTTGGTTCAGATTCTTCCCAAATACAAACGATTTTAAATAAATTAAACAACTCTTCCGCACGGTTTGGCATGCACTTCACGCCTACAAAGTGTAAAAAGCTGCTACAGGACTGGCTGGGATCGAATCCACACCTCATGCTTGCAGGTGAGCCAATCGACGTGGTAGATAAATTTGCTTACCTGGGCAGTTGTATGAGTCCCGGTGGACTGGCTGGAAATGAGATTATTTCCCGAATCGGAAAGGCCAGGGCGGCTTTTGCCAACCTGCGATTTCTATGGCGCCGACGTGACGTGAGTTTGTCTATCAAGGGAAGAGTTTACACCGCGGTGGTTTGATCTATACTGTTTTATGGTTCAGAAACGTGACTCCTACACGCAGAGGACATACGGAAGATGTCACTGTTTGATCATCGGTGTCTCTGAAGCATTGGTCAGGTTTGGTGGGAACCAGTAGGCACACTAGATGGTCTTAGGAAGAAGGAACTCTCCCGCGAAAGCTGAATTACTTACGCTTCATGGGTTGTGCTGGTTAGGGCGTGTACTATGCATGCCAGAAGACCATCTGCCTCATAGAGCTCTTATCTCTCAGCCCTGTGCTGATTGGAGGCGACCGAGAGGTGGACAGTGTATGACCTGGCAACGAAGTAAGAAAACACTAACCAGTAAACTAAGTCGGGTGGGCAACTGCCGTCTCCCTGGATGGGACCCAGGGACTCAAGTCACCAGTGGTTATTGACATTGGCGGAAATAGCCCAATCGCGCAGTCAGTGGCACTGGTGCATCAAAGCTATCGCGTAGCTGCCCGATTTCCGAACAAACTGAGGATGCCTTCGCCTCGAAGGCTTGGTTTTGTATTCCACTTTCCCGTTTTCCGGTGATCGAAGCTATAGCAGCTGGAACCAATATGACTATGGCACACGGTTTATAGCTGATAAATTGAATTAAATTAATGATACTTGTTGTAAACCTCAGTTGATATTTATAATTTGTCTGAGACTTGGACTCTCACCATCAGACTTCCCTGGTTTTGCTGTGTTTCCAAAAAATTTCGTGTGACCCTGCCGACTAAGCTCCTTAGTATATTGATAGCATGTTAAAGCTCATCTGTTGATACAGTGTGGTCTCTAGTTTGTGACTACACTGTGGAGCGGTTGGGAAAGACTGAACAATGTTCTGATCTAACCGCGCGGTCTGATTTACTACCATTTAAGGAAGGTGGACGTGTTTAATGACATTTTGTCTTTTCCAACCAGAATTTTTACCTACTGGCTGTCAGTGAATGTCACCACGTCCTGGATCCAGCGCATCCATACTTTCAATTGTTTGGCCCACGGGGTCTTGACCATTTCTCCGCGCTAGTCGATCAGAACGGTTTATCGGACTGCACGTTGAAAACCGAAAAGAAAACTCTGCGGTCGTTTCAGCGTATCGTTTGTTTCACCTCTTCTCTACTGCCACGAGAGATTACGGATCCATCTGAGGTAAGCAGTCTCCCATTCAACTCAAATTTTTCTCTTTCTCGTCTGTGGCGACCAGGACTCGTTCGTATTAACCGTGTATTGAGTTCTCTTAAAATAACTTGAAGGATCCTAATGATCCACCGTCTTTTCTGCTCACCCACGTTTTCACCACATTCCAAGACGTGCGACACTTTGCCAAAGTTATTGCATCCAAACTTTTAAAAGGAAGCCTTTTAAACATCTCGGAGTAACAAAGAGACAATCCATAGGAAGTATATGACTTATGAGCAAACAAGCCATTTCTATGTTGATTTTTCCTGCATTCCTACGTTCAACTGTTTACTTGCGGACTTTTTCTGAAGGACGAACCTAATAGGTATCTTGATCTGGCAGACTTTCTTTGCACGTCCCGTTGTTGCATTTTTGTCAACCGGTACATGCTTTTTTCAAAGGTATGAACCACATCAAATGAGGAATGAGAGGTTGTCAAGTACGTCATTGCAACTTACTTCACATAACAGACGCTCTATTGCTGAAGGTTTAAACCACTCCAACTGGAAAATATTTGAGCGATATCGCTACTGACTTCCGTTTGTTGTATTTTCTCGTATAATATTGACACAATCGTAGCATGTGTACCAAGACCCCGGGAACTTTTAATTTTAATGCGTCCACTTCTCGTGCATGAATACCGAATCGCTGGAACTACCTAGGGGAGCTGTTGTGGTGCGTGCCGGTCAACTAATACTCTTGGGTAGCACGAATGAGAATCCTTGTCACTGCATCACTGACCAGCGACTCATGGTAGGCGATAGACACAAGTTACAATCCTCTATATTCGAAGCGAGCATACTCATGGCATCCCGCAATCTTGGTTTCTGACACAGCCTTTTGCCCACAAGTCCTTAGAAATATCTCACCATGGGCCACATACAACCACATTAGGAAGTAGATTTCACTCATTGTTTACGCGGTATCGACTTCTTTCGGGGTCCCAAACGATTTCCACCAATTTTCTCCAATATTACCGTTTATTTGATATTACATACAGTTACAGAAATGAAAATCTATTGTTAGGGGTAAACGTAATTAATCAGCTACGTTGTAAAAATATTGCTCATTTACCATTCTGCGCTTTTCAAACATATCGTTTTCAGTCTCACAAGGCAAAGCACTTGTTTCGGATGCATTGTCGTATTGTTGTTTTGGTTGTATTATGAAATGCCTGTTGGAATGTCGTTTCCTTCTTGGATATGAGGTTTCATTTCCCGATTGCTTGAACGTGTACTCAACCGCATTGCTTTCGTTGCGAAATCATACCAAACTCTCATCTTAGCTGGAGTAGATAAATTGAATGTCTCAATTTGGTGCATATCAGCCCTGTCACGACGTAATTGTGCATAGATGAGGCACTGGTGGTTTCGTCAGTCATGATGCCAATGACACTGTTTGTCTTACAATATCGAATGTTGTATCAATTCGTGTGACCACAGCCTTGGGTACTGTTATAAAAGTTATGAATTCGAACCCAAGTGATGCTGATCAAATTTTGACGCTCAGTTGCCTCCTTTCCAAATAACCGTCCGGTTTTTCCTAGTGAATATTCTATGATGCGCTTTTGATAAATAGATTGTTAAACTCCGCCATTGGAACAGTCGACCGCCTGTGTTGGCGCAACTTTTCCGGTGAATCCACGCCAAAAGCAGAAGCACTGGACTTGAGTTTCGCTCTTACTAGAGGTCATGAGCATTGCTTATACTTTGCCATGTCCGGGTTTGAACTTCGGCTACTTGACTTTCTAGACGGACCTGTTACCAGCGCATTGTGGACGCATCTGAATTTTCACGTCTGAACAGTCGGATGTGTTCATTGTTTGGCGATATGTTTGGTTTGCCGGACTCCCCGAACGACGACCCAGTATTCTTCGTGGTTGTGACGATGAATCGACCCGCTTGTCAGACGCTTGAAACCCGCTGGACAATTTTTGATTTTGTTGTGGGTAGTTGCGGGATTTGAAGTGTTCACACTCATCACTCGTTTGAACAGACCAAAGATATGAACTACTGATGAGCTCTAACAAGAGCGAAATTCGAGTTCAGTGCTTTCCTTCTTTGGTGTGGACCCACCAGAATAGTTACGCCATCACAGAACTGTCCAAATGGGATTGGTGTGAGTGTGAACTCCGTCACTTGTTCCGTCGTCCTCTCTTGTTAACTCTAGTACATCCTTTCAGTACTGTTGTTTCAAGTCAAAGTGCTATTGTCCATAAAACCATGAATTTTGACGATACGTTATCATTACCCGGTACCTCATTCATTACCTAGGCTGAAGCTCGTATAGTGGAATTAGAGAAACGAACTAATTGTCGTTTGGAGACCGCTTCGGAACTATTGACAATGCTCTCTCTTGGTGCCAGGCCAAAAGAGCGCGTTTTGCTCAGCCCAGCGGTTCAGTCATCGGGGAACTGTGCAATACATCATTTCTTCACACGCATCCTGTCGGAGACTCGCGAGTTTCTCACTGACATTCTGCCAGGAACGTTAGAATTCACTTGTGATAGAAATACTTGTGAACAAACCGTGACAACATCGAGCGGGTCACCTTATTTGAGCAATACACAAGTGCCAGACAGCCGAGGTCGCATGATATGTGTTCTCGATTATTGTCGGCGGGCTGTGCTCCAGTGTGAAGAGGTACTCCTGGAACTCGGCGTCTGGTGTGCTGGCCAGATCGCTCGAGTCTTTGTAAAACATTTGATCGGACTAGATAGGAGGCGTGCATTGCTGGTCAGAACCCGTACCTCTTCAGGGGACAAACTGAATTCAAGCCAATCAATGGAGCACGGGGAAGACCAACTTGCTCGCGTTCTTCGTTTCACCGTCACGCAACTATGTATGCTTGTTCGCCTGTTCCAAATCGAGTTTGACACGTAAGTATTGGGCAAAGTATTTCGGCCATATTAGGTCCATTGATCGGCTTGTCCCATCACCCTGTTTACGAATATCTTTTCTTCGGTTGATTTCATTCGGTTAGTTATTTCAATCGCTTTTCTTTTGCGTTGAAATTTGTCCGCAACAGAATCAGTAACGCTATAAAATAGTGATCAACGTACACCCAACTGCGATTTGAACTGAAACAGAAAGCGATAACAGAGGGTCCATTACAGTCATCTCCATGTAACCGAGTTTTCTAAGTAGTACTAGTATCTCATTATGATAAATGATTCGAACTTAAATTTAATGTGGTATGAGCAAATATCTGTGCATGGCTCATCTGCATGCATCTATAGTCGCCACTTATCCTCATAATCATATTTTGGTACCTTATTTTGCGTTCGAATCAATGTACCTATTTTTCATATCACGCTATGGTTACGCAAATTGTGTTGAGACTATATGGTAATTCCATCCTGCCGCCCCACCCCTCGGGAAAAAACAGTAAAGAAACACCACACCCCGAGTCATCCTTCAGTATGTCTTCTCTCGGGAGCGAGATGGCCCAAGTGGTTAGAGCGCGAATTTACTGACCGGAAGGTCCGTGGTTCGAATCCAACCTTCGCCACTCGACTTCCCCTGTCTAGGCTTGGGCAACCTGGCAGTATCCCAGCCCTTGTGCTTCCTTCGGGTAGCATGGCAGCTAGGCACCGGAAGGGTGCTACAGCTGAACGCTTTCTTTTTTTCTTTCTTTCGGATAATTTGTCTGAATTGTCTCCTGGGACGAGAAATTAACTAAAAAAAGACTTAAATCAGGGATGATTGTTACCCATCCATCTTGAATTAATTTGACGGTGACTACCGGTTTACATCACTTCAGTGACCATATACCTGACGTCACTCACATTTAGATCAATTTCATTCTATTCCCACAGTTCTGTTCCCATACCGTGAACAGATACGGCGACGGTGTCAGGGACCGTTAACACCGTTGCCTGGCCGTCACTCTGCCTTCGTTAAGGTTGAACATTTAACTGATGCAGAGACTGGGGTTGATAGCTAAGATCGTCATCATTGTCCGGGGTAGCAAGGTCTCGGTGCTTCACTGCTGTTCACTCATAAAACCGAATTTATCCCTGAGCTTAGCAAGCTTGTTGAAAGCTTAACAGCGAATTTCCGCTTCACTGCCTACTGATGTCACCTCGTATGGTGACGAAATGGTGTCAGAAAGTTCTCGAGATTGGTGAACGAGTCAACCGTTAATACTTGCTGTTTGGCCATTTTACGTTTGGACCACCTGACCAGACGACACAGGTATTGTGAATTTTAAATCCAAGTAGTTCCAAGGTAATCGGAGCAACCACTCAACGGCTTATTTTAGGACTGTTTAGGAGACTGGATATCACATTTACTAGCTATTTTACAACAGCTAATAAATTACTTCAGGAACGTCACATTGTAGACCGTTTTAAAGTTTCAAATCTTATTTTATCCTTTTCAATCAGTTGTCAGTCTTCCCGAGGAATGAGTGGAGAAGAAATGAATCGTGAAAGCCTTGAGCAACGAAGCGTTTTGGGTATGCGTAAATGGTCTATAGCTTGCGACAAAAATGTCAGCATATCGCGTTCTGATTCAATTAATGGGTGTTATTAGTCAAAAGTGCGAAAGATAGTACCTATTCGAGTTCAGTCGTTCAAAATTGTTCGTTAGTCATAACGCTATGCAAAAATATTTGCAATTTTATGATCTGGAAAATAGCAATGGATAGTTACTCACTAATTGCATTAGGTGCAATCGTTGACGAGCGAATCTGGGGGGGGGGGGTACAACGGGCTTTTCATTGGTGGGAAATCAGCAGACAAAGCTGTCCACTGAATGTCAGTAGCTTTATGCGTGAGTGCTACTGAGTGTGCGACCTAGCTATGTGCTCCAGTGTCCCTAACCATTCATGTGTTTTGTCGCAAGGTTCCTATGCAGGTAACGGTTAGTGCAGCTGGTCCGATTGACTCAGGCGGGACAGGAAGTCGTCGGCAATCACATGTTTTAGCGTATCCGCAGCGAATAATCTGGCGCGTTTAGTGTCACCAGGTGACCGTCGATGTGACGTGATTGTGGTGTTATTAGTGTATTTCGTAATTGTATGTGGCCTAAGGTAATGCTGAAACCCAGATAGGAGGACGATCAGGATCCTCAATCGAAACATACGGCTCAAAGTCTGACCACAAGACACTGATAGTTGGCTAGGATAGCTCAATTTTTAGGGAACGCATTGCCACGCTTGCTCGCATCATCAGACTTAAAGGTCGGAGACTTTTCCACAGACCTATATCCATTGACCAACCTGATGTGACGTGTGTGGATTTTGCGTGGCAATCCACCAGCGCACTTTAATTGGTTAGGCAAACCGTACCACCACTGTAAGATCCGGTATCTTCGCAACAGAACCATGAGACAGGGTTATCCAAGTTATTCAATACTGGCTGCATTTCGATACCGTCAGATTGGTAGATGCTCAAGCGAACACTCCGGAAGTATTTCAACTCCTCAGGTGTCGGAGATTGAGAGTTAGTCTTCTATGATCGGTCACAAAGATGAAAAGAAAAAAGGACGGAGAACCTTCAATGGGTATAGTGAACTCGGGTGAGACCTTACCATAAAGCTTATCGTGTCCACGGGAGACATACTTTGAGGAGGGTCAATAATTAATGAGGGGTGCCATGCGGCCGTGTCATAGGAACTCACGTTTGCCAGAGTCAAAACCACTTCTCAAGACAAGGATATCGATCGCTGTTGGTTGTTGAAATTTGTGTCGTTGTTACTAGGACAAAGATTTGGTCTATGAGCCCTCCTGCAGGAAGTAAGGCAACTTGATTTTCGCGCGCATGTTTCTCAACTTCAGAATTGCAGTCTGCCGAGCTTTAGCCGACCTGACAAATAGACCCCGTCTATCGCACTGACCAGATAACAGTGCAACACACTCCGGCTGAGGGTGATACCGGGAGTCATTGCATCAGGATCACCAGATATCCGAAGGGTGAAATGTGAAACACCTGAGCTTGTCAAAGGTGGCCTGATATGCACGACCTTAGTGGAGTCTCGTTTGATATGTTTCAAAGACAAGACACATTGACAGAAAGTTTCAGCAAGAAATGCCTGTCACCCAATTTCACAGAAAGTAGCGGCTTCGAAAGGTGTAAAATGGCGAGTTTAATAACAGGTTATTTTGATTCATTATACCGGACCAAAGTTTAGACACGGAACGTTGCTTAGGGGGCTGGCGGATGGATTGATTGTAAAGGACCAGTTGAACGGTGGATAGAGAGTATGGGTGAGGGTCGGTGAACGCTGGACAAAACGTCAGTGTCTTTCAACCATTTTCCTCAAAACTTGTGAGTTTTGAAGACGTGCTCGAAATATGATAAAATTGTATAAAACTAAGCTTTTTAACGTACCTGCGTGCCTTTACTCGTGATTGCGTCCGATGTACGCCAATGTCCTGCGATCACCTTTGTCTGAACGCACCACTAGTCATCTTCAGATATAACGATATTAAATTCCTCGTCACCTCCAGGGTACTCTATCAAATGAAGTGAAGTTTTGCGGATATGTGGAAGAATATAATCAGAGATATTCTCGAAATTTCAAGTCTCGTTACAGCCACAGAAGAACAAGTCTCAAGAAATGATGTGGATTCTGCAAGCCCATCTAATTGTTTTCGTGATAAGAGGGTACTTCCTTAATGTGCGACAATCCACCAGTATGAGACAAGGGCAGGAACGCGAACAATCTCTTCTGATCACTATCCGTGGAAACGTATGAATCGTGCATGTTGGTTTTGCCTTGGGGCAATACCCTCCCTCCCGTCGCGTGGCTTCTAATCTAATGCCAACCCTCGGATAGAGGAACTGTATCCTCTATAATGGTTTATCTCTAAACATGTCTGTCATCCCCGTCAGCGTTTTCAGCGATGAACGGTCCCGCTATAAAGATAGGGAATAGCGGTGGAAGTTGAAAACTTGGACCTCATAGGAGAGGGCAACCAGCTCTCCTGTGATAGGCTGTCATGTCGGAAACGGCTTCCATCCTTTAGTGAATGTTACAGGATCACCAGAACCTGGTGGATAACCTCCACTAATGTTGTCAGGTAATGTGATAAAGGCATTCATGACCGAAAGGCGTCGCCTTATAGGTTCGTACCTCGTAAACAACGTTGGCTGCTGTAGTCGCTTTCGTGATACCAGAACTCACCATCAAAGCTCCGCTTTTTTAATGCAGTAGTTATTCACTGTGTGTTCTATCCAATACCAGGGGGAAATCTCCAACTCGTTCGTTTTGTTTATTTCGCTTGGTAGAAGCAAGTTGGCGGGTGCAACGATGATTATAAACCGATAGCGAAGGAAGGGCTGGGGTGCTGTAATATGAAGTATAGTTAAATAACCCTGTTTGTCTACTGCCACCCAACTGCATCAGAATCTCTTTTTTTCCTCTAGTTGTTCAGCATTCACGTTTTGATTTGTTGGGACCTTCGCATTCATAGTGAACCAGATTTTTTCGATTTAGTGAGTGGTTTAATAGGCACCTCAATTGCATTTTAATGAGTATTCTCCACTTCCCTACATTACTGGAGCTATGTATCCTTACCTAGTAATGCATCGTCCAACTTACTCTCTCCGAACTGTGTCAGTTTTCTTTTTTCTTTATAGCAATTTTATGAAGACATACCATGCGACAATTCGTTGTGTGTGAACCCCATTGTCTTACCCGCACACATATTGTCTTCCATTTCTAAGGTGTCTTACTCTGGAGACGTTCAAGACAATGATTTCACCTAAGATTCTCACACTCGTGGAACAGCTGAAAGCCTACAAGCCGAACATGAATTTTCGCATCGAGGTGGCTGAATTACCTAGTTCATTTAATTTGGCTAGTGGGAGCCGCAGAGCTCGACGACGTCGTCGAAGTCTTCAGGGTTCCGCAAGCGAATCTGGATCTACCGCGTTGGTTAGAGTGAATTTACTTTCAGGAGATCCTTCAGGATCTTCGGACAGTTCGGCCGATACAATGAGTAGCGTCTCAGATGGAGAAGATACCGACAGTAGGATGAATTCGAGGTGAGTTTTATGGGCGAATTTTGATGTCATAAAGATTTCCGTCCCAAAAGTCTTTTACCAACAGTGCAGGGGAAAGGGCTTAAGAATGGTCAGTCCATATCTTAGCAATGAACCTTGAAGTCCATAACCGGTAAACCCAGTCGTTTTGGCAACATCATCTTCCCGGATGGGCGTCCCGGGACGAGACATACCATCATTTGGTGACACCAACATTCACGGCCTAACCACGCAGTCTGAACTAGAGCTATTGCCTTCAATCTTAACTTTTACCAATTCATCCTCTTTGGGCAGAGTGAAGCAACTCGGTATCACAGACGATTTTAGCTCATTGCCACAACTGCACAACTGTCCTTCCGTCACTGAACGAAGCCACTGCAACCTGAACTAACGTACCGCGGTACCCTTTTATTCAACCGATGACCTGAAGTGAACCGTTTGGAAAGTTCGGGAGGTAGCAGTTTCCGATCTCCCACATCGTCTAGTTAGGTGCGAATTGTTGGGAGGTGAATCAGCTATGCGAGGCATAGGTTGCGCCACTGCCTCGTATCAAGAGAACACGAATGAGGCTACTTTTTCCCTTATCAGAGCTTACTTTATTGTCCTTGACTACTGCATGTATGGCGTGGTTTCCCGCTGCTACTGCTTAGTTGAGCCGCTGTGGTTTTGTTCTATCTTGCACCCTCAATCGCAGCTCAAGAAAATCGTCTGCATCCCGCAAATCTTTCCGTGCACGTGGTTCCAAGCCCAAATCGAAAAGTGAGTCGCGACCCCGTTTTAAATCGTGCCACCTTATGGTGCATAGCACTAACTGTTTGATATCTCGAATTTGTCCATTTTATAGGTGTGTGTGCGTAATGTAAGATCCGGTGTATGCGATCTTGGTCATTCAATCTTGGTTATCCAATAATATCTCGATCCAAATTGTTGAGAACAGTCTGACTGAGGAATGCGCCAAAACGGCACCCAGCCTTGAAACGCTGCAAGCTGTGCACTTAGAGGCGTAATTTACGAAACCAATGATATTTCATTTGAGTGCATCCACGGGTTGATAATGTTACTGGTGTTTCGAATAAATCAGTTATTTTAGATAGGTTTGGAATCCGTTAGTTTTGAAATGTATGGTGTAGATATTTCTTTGGTGCCTTCGTAAATCTACGTGCATTATCATCATCATCATCTATAGTACAGCATCGGTGCTCACAACTAACGCATGTGCGCTACCTCGGAGGAGGTGGTGCCAAAGGAGGCTTAAGATTTTACAGACAGAACTCCCCGAACCTCGTTGTAATTTTCCACACTCTCTTCAAATTTTTATCAATATTTCCTGTCGTAAGAATCAGACCAAAATGGATGCCCGACGTGTGCTAGTATATAAGTAAGGGTCCATTGTCCATGTCAGTTTTATGACTAAACGTACATGCACTCCACCACCAATTTTACAGGTAGAAGTAGTTCTTCAGTACTCCCAAAAACGCGTGACTTGAACTTCGTGCCGACCTCTGCCCTTGTGGATGGTAGACTCCGACCGGATGCGGATCCATCACAGCTAGTGTACCGTGCCGTTTTGGATCCAGAAGAGAATGGGAAGCCACCTACCAATCCTCCGCGTCTATGTGGACTTGTCCTGGTCGGATGCCAGTTCACTGCTTACGCACTTTCTCGGTTAATTGACGAGTTGTGTGTTTGGGATGTGGACCTCTTTTTTGTCAAACCTGGTCATCTCTTTTCTCGACCTACGTCCACATCTGACTCAGAACAGAATTCACACAGCGCCGCCCACCAGACCGCCTTAAAAACAGGAGACGAATCTGTTGCAGGTTAGTTCCACACAGGTGATTCACGCTTTCTACATCGAACTACAAACGTTTCCTAAGTACATCGATTTTCTTTTCATAGCGAGATTTAATGAACTAATTTTCCTCCTTATTTGTAGCTCCTCATGGCTGTGAACAATCTACGTTGCCAGCCACACAGGAAGAGACAATTTCTAAGTTTCGCCGTGGCTCTATTAATCTGTTGATCGCAACACAACCTGCTGTTTCTGCGGCAGCTGGTGGAGCTGAACTTCCCAGGTGTAATCTCGTAGTTGCACTTCAACCACCACGCAGTTTGGCGGAATATCTGTCCAGCAAGGCACGGTCTCGCCTGGTGGATCACGGGGCCCAAGTAGTTTATTTGGTGGAATCTGACCAGTCTGGCAACCTTGGAGAAACAGATTCGGTCTCACCCGATGATTTTGATGGGGACTTATCGCACACCGAACAGAAGGGAGGAGGGTCTACTGGTATACTTGCGCGGTAAGTTTGCGAAAACGTGTGACTGTTACTTGAATCACAGTGCAGCATAATTTACCTTACTTATTTTGTTGATCTCCAGATTCCAGAAGTTAGAACAGCTTCTTGTTCGAAATTGTCGTAGCTATGACCTGTTTGCTGATGAACACGATGTAGATCCCTTTGTGGCCGATCAACTTATCCCGCCAATAATGCCACGCGGGCCCAACGGACCAAAGGTAAGCCTTCATTCTTGTCTGCTTGTGTGCTTGATTTTCTCGATTTCCAGTGCACTGATTACAGATTAGACTGTTCTGTCACACTCGTCCGCTTGACACATTCGACAACAATCTGAGGATTTCGTTACGCAAGGTATTCTAAATATTTGTTTAGCAAATATTGAAGGTTGGAGACTTGCTTAGATCAACCTTCGCTTCGTCTGTCGAGGTATTTCTGTATTCAAGTAAAACATAAGGTTGTTGGAAACTCGGGGACCACGCCTATCTGATGAGCCCCCAAGAACGGCGAAACCGCTTATGGGTTTTCGAAGAATTTTCAGCAACTTCATGAGTAGTGCCTTACGATTATTCCTGATTCAGTTTATGAGTTATGTTTTGTGTCAGTTCCATCCTTTTGACAATAAACAGAGAAGCATCTCATATCTACACATTTCCAGTTATATCGCTAATATCGTGACCCAAATTGAACAGATGATCTCTAATCCCAAACCTTGCTACTTTGGTGTGTTCTGCTTCCCTCACTGAACGAAATGGTGCCAAGGTCAGGTTTAAAATTGTTTCTGGCTGTTTTGGGCATATTTACTAGAGTATTTAGCTAGCAAAGGAAATTAACGTTATGTGTTCATCAGGTGGGGTGTTCTTGTGGAGAGGATGCTGTTTTCGCACCTCAAGTGTGGAGACAGTCTCCTTCCTCACTGTTTTGCTTGGATGGAGGTTCCTTGCACCCGAACCTTTTCCCCAAGGTCGATATACGCTGAAATTACCTCACCTCGTTCGATAAAAGGTTGGTTGCGGCAATGGTGACTAGGNTCGTTCGATAAAAGGTTGGTTGCGGCAATTGTGACTAGGCTTCAGTAAGCCTTCAGTAAGCACCATACTACATCATTCTTACTTGGCTGGCACGTTGTTTCAGTCATCTCTGTCTTTCCGTTTTACTTTAGCTTCTTCTATCCAAAGCTATCAATGTAATCAATCAATATTGCGCTCGACTACCAAGTGATTACATCACCAATTTAACGCCAAGGTGGCGCCTGAAGAGCATACCTCAGCCACAAACATGGAAACCGCCCGTTCAGGGTCCGGGAGCATCGTGTGGTGCTCGAGGAGAGGTGGAGGCTGTCAGGAGACGTGGTCTTTTTCAGTGCCTTTTGAGGTTACCAATCAATACCTCAGTAAAAATGGAGATAGCTGTAAGCACTGCTTTTTATTCGCAGAGTGATGTTTACCTTCCTCCCTGTTTTCACGCCCTTTTGCTCAATGTATTTTCCAAGTTTCCAAGTTAATACTGTACTCATCCTTCACGTGTGCACTCCAGTCCACGCTTACACTGAGGTAGTTGGTGTTCTTAACTAGTCACTAACTATCCGTTTGACGTGGATGGTCAGCATTATTTGTTGGTACCTACATGGTAACGTGAATAATTCCGCGCGGATCAGCTATATTGCTATCTTTGGGGGGGGTTACATGGGGGGGGGGTTGTCAGTCACTTTTTCAGGATCTGGAAAGTGAGCTCAGCCTTTCGGTTCCAATATGTTATTGGAAATTTCTGCTTTTTGTCAGAGCCTCATTCTGTCAAACGGGCGCCGAAGCTTCACTGCGTCAACCTCTTCAAGCTTCACCCGAAGACTGACTTATCTTAGGCGGTGCTGACTGCTGCTTACCTGCCATAAGTTAACGTGCCATATCCTGTATGACTTTTAACCACGTGAGAGAACCTCAACCAAGAAGGTTTGATGATCTCACATCACCCTCTTTGTCTCGGCCGGCTTGTGCTTCGCATTGCTATGTCGTAGCCCTTTGTCCGCAGATTTTTCGGTCGTGTGGGCCTCAAATGGATAGCAGTGAGTTAAAAACGGATGTTGATTCTGCACGTCCTAATACTTACTGGGGGTCTTGATCTCCCTAATCTAGTATGCCCCATTTGAGTCGACCTAAAATAGAAACCGATTCCCGAACGCTAGGTACTTTAAGGATAATTTCTCGTTTACCGTGCAATATATCGTAGTCTTTAGTCATTGGCCGTTACCGATTTCCTATTACGATGTATGGAGATGAAGTTAGACATAAATGGAGGCTTCAATGAATCCCTTTAGAGAACGAGTTGGAACAAGAAGACACAAAGCCTGAGTGACTTTTAAAGACGCTACTCAGGACACTGAGTAGATCAGCCAGTTCGTTCTAATGAAATGACTGAAAACCCCCTTTGGAATTACGGACATCTGTTATCCATACGGGGGGATAAAATGGAATAGAATATTTTGAAGGCACTCACGTTTTGTCCAATTTTTTACTTTTCGTGTACCTCATACATTACCCCCGAAGCGAATCCACCACCCAATAATGTTCAAGATGTTCCTCCTCTCAGTGATCTTTCTTTACTTCCTTTACCTCATACCCTAGGGAGAACCGATGGCTTGCAAAAAACTTGCCAAGCTTTCAGCGGCGCTAAATGCCGTGCGGGCTCTTCACGCCGCAGGTGAACTAGATTCCCGCTGGGAGCCTTCTAGCAAGGAATCGTCGGTCAGCGGATCTAACCGGGACAATTCAACAAGTTGGAATAGCGTAAAATTGACTGCGTCTTTCACTTCGATGCCATCCATAGCCAATTCCGAAGCCGAGATGGAAATGAATGATCTCTTGGCTACCTGTAACACTGAACCGGATGAGCCATCGGCTGCTTTAGAGGTAGCTGGTCGTCGCCGCCAGTACTATTTCAGAAAGGTGAGAACTACACTGTTTACGTTTACGCTCCAGAGGAGTCATTTTCAAGGGGACGTAAATCATGTTCGATGAAATTTTCAACACTTTTCCCCAAATTTCACAACACTACAACAAGTTCTGTGTGGCTCGAAATTTTTGTTAGCATTCAACAGCTCTTTTAAATTTCATCTGATCGTAACTTGACCTTTTCAACACTTTTGTTGACAGTTTGCAGATCAGATGCGCAACTGCCTTCCACAAGCGGGGGACCCGTCACCTAATTATCTCTACTTCATCGACATGCGGTTGGCCAGTGCCTTGCCAGAGTACCATAATGTTCGTGGTCGGCCATGTTTCCGACCCGAAGATGAACCTCTTGGTTTCGGTTTATTGACAAAGAAACCATTACATCATGTAAGTGTGTTTAACTTTGTTTCCTTTTTTCAATACTCAACACTCAGTGCTACAATTTCCAACGTCGATAATCTCCGAAACTTCTTGGTTAAACACGCCATTTGTATCTGTTGCGCTCAATAGACATCCATTTTATTACGTCCCGATAATTGTTTAGCTTTCTGGGTTGTAATCAGTAGCCCCTGCACCCGATGGAACCTCTTAACTCCACGTAGGGACACCATTAGATACATGCCGGGACATTTAAAGATTAATCAGTATGCGTCCGGTTCCTCATCGGGGGCTTATTGAGAGACACACCAGAACAATCTGAGAATATGCGCATAAACTTCAGTGCGAGTGAAGTAGAAAAGATGGGATGAATTGGTTGATGATTTAGTGATTTCGTCGGATTTCTACAATTCTGTTCTCCACGAGGTCATCTGTGGAACATTGAGCAATGCGAAACTCCGTAGTTTTTACCAACAACAGGACACCATGGATTTGACGCTGCTTTGAGATTAATTGTATGAGTTGCCACTTGAAAAGCGACCTGAATAATCCCTGCTCTCAGTGCTCGTCTCTTCTATAAGCGGGGAAAATTCCGTTTGCAATCTTCTGTGCTGATTTTTTCACGCATTTCAACTTCATTCTTCAACCTTGCCTCCCTCATTCAGATTCCTAGTTTTCCCATTTTCAGTCGGTCAGGCGAGGAAACAGTTAGATTACTCGAACTGTGGTCTCCATTAGAGTCCAGCGTCACTTCTGATGCGCAGCCTTTGTTTCCAAGACTCGGTCAGCCGCTAACGGAAGAGCAGTTGGGACAATCATTCAAGTTCCATCGTATCGTATTTCAGGTAAGCTGAATATGCCTAGTCCTATCAACACATTTGTTGAGATACCTTTTGAGATACCCTTTTATTTTGTATAGATCCATTTTTCTTGGATCTGAGCAGTACAATCACCAATTCACTTTGTGTTTTCTGTTAGTAAGATCAAATTTCGAATTTTCACACATTGAACGTATTTCACCCCTTTTCAGGCTGTCTTGAGGTTAGAGAGAGATGCTGTCATCGAATTCAATGTGGCTCGAGCCTACACACAAGTCATAGTGGTTCCTATCCGCATTGGTAAGTGTAACTAAACTGCTGAGTATAATCGAGTGAGTCTACTCAATGTAGCGCGATGTGTAGCATATGATAAATCTCTTTCTGTACCATTTTCCTAATTGCTGGTATGTTTACTTCGTTGACCATTCAATCACATGAAAGATTCCGACCATCGTCGTCGAAACTAATGAAATTTTGTTTCCCAGTGGCGTACAGTAAAGTTTTTGTGGTACATCGGTATTTAACACTGGTGTTCCACTGCTGTTGAGGCTGGCAATTTTCAGGAGAGATTCGGTATTGCAATTCGTCCTATCCTCCCAAGTGGTCGTTGCAGATGCACTCAGAGTGAGTGTCGTGTTGTGACCCCTCGGAATTTTTATGAAAGCAGTGCATGATGATGAAGAAGTATTTATCATTCATTCAAAGGGTGCAACAGGGTTGCTATTTCTTTATCCATGTTTGCGGAAGTATTTTGCATGGGGCTTCCGATGAGGTCACCGCGTATTGTTGTCTGCATCTTAACCCTAACGTTCGCCTACCTCCTCGTTAGTGCACAAGTATGTTCGCTTTTTCAGACACTTTCAACATCGACTGGGATTTCATTTCTCTGGTCTTATCCTCGTACAATCCTGAGGGCGTTTGCCGTATACTACCTCGGCGTGATTTGTCCAAAACTGCGATCTCTACAACCCCCGTCAGTCAAACCGGTAAATCGATCTCTCCACGTGGCGGGATGAGTAGACCGTCCGGACGAACTCGGTCTTCTTTGCGTGCACGCCAGCTGGGTAACACGTCAACTGTAAACCTGCTTTTTAATCAGCCGGGCGTGTTTGATTTCCGTGATGAGGACTACGTTAATGCTGTGGTGATGCCTGGCTACAGAAACCTGGATCAACCACAGCACTATTATGTGGCGGAGATACGGTGCGTCGGTTTTTTTAAGAATATGCTGATCGAGTACCTTGCTTTTGTTGTGATTCATCAATACGGCCAGAGGATTTTCAGTTACTCGGCAATGGCGCTTATGTTGTACTCGATGGTCGTCTCACTACTTCGAGTATTTGCCCCTAAATATTTATCTGGCAGTAAAATCTTTTAGTGACCCCTGATCTAAACGCTATTTCTCTCTGGAGACACCTTCGACGCTGGCAACTGTATCCTAATGAACACCTGTGAACAGAGCTTGCATAGATGGCAAGCCAGGGAACCCCCTGTAACTTACTATAGTTCATTTTCATAATGTTTTCCACCGCATTTGTATTTCAACGTTTGAAGGAAGACTATCCATATCGGATCAGCTCGCTTAGAGCTGAAATGCACTCGTACAGATTAGGATGGACTTTGAACAATGGCAGCATATAATTTTGCTCACCCATTTCTAGCTCAGATTAGGTATATTTGCAGCCTTACTCTCTAATTTATGACTACCATAGAAGAAAATCCTCCCTAAGACCGAAAAAGCACGTTTAAATTTTTTGTACGTCTCGAATCTGTGGATGACCCGACCTTGTTGCCAGTTACGTTAGTTGCTCGACTCTAGAAGAAAAACGCCCTATTCTGTAAAGGTCAGTGAAAGCTCACTTGCCGTAGTCCCATTGCCATGGGATCAGCGTTTACCCTCTAGATTGAACGTGCAACCAGGTGACCATTCGAAATAGATCACTCTCTTTACAGTGCTGCTCATAAAACCGATGGAAACTGCATAATCCATTGCCAGTGTCTTGGTGCTCATCAGTCAGACCTATTTCCAGAATTTCCATCAGCATTGTTCCCGAACTGTGAGATCCTGTTATTCGGTATGACGTAAACCTGCCTTTACTTTATGTTTCTTGTTGATCGTCAGAAAATATGGCGATCGAAAGTACCCCTTCTAAATTTTCATTCTTTAGAAGGGCACTGTATGTCAATTGATCTGGCCACATACCGGCATGCAGCAAGCCTTCTTAGTTCGCCACGTATAGTGGTGTAAGTGAAGGCTGTCCACCGTCACCATTCATTCCTCTTCATACTTGTTATTGACGTGTTGCTTAAAACTCCTCTATCTACCCCTGAAACATTCGGTATCGAAATGCCCCTGAAACTTTTGCTGGTATTGAATACACACGCGATATTGCTTTTCTTGGTTCAAATCTTTTAGAGCTGTGATCCCCCCTCTGGATGATCTGATCAGTTTTCCGGCACGATTAATCATTCTCTTGACGGTGGTAATAAATTCAAACATGGCTGACCGATTCACTTTTTCTTTCAACTATTTTATAGCCACGATCTGAGTCCACTTTCCCCGTTTCCTTCCTCTTCTTATCCAAACTTCGCGGCCTACTACACCAACAAATATGAAGCAACCATTACTTCAATGGAACAGCCTCTTCTAGATGTCGATTTCACCGTGCTGCGACTCAATCTGCTAGTACCGCGGTACATGAACATTCGCGGACACTGCTTGCCTTGTTCCAAAGAAGGCCGGAAACGAGATCGGCGTGATAACCTAACCTACAAACAAATTCTCATCCCAGAGCTCTGCTTCATCCACCCGTTTCCCGCTTCAGGTTAGAGTTACCTTATTTTGAAATAAAATCATCTTCATTTGAGTACCTCAGGTTTATAATTCAATTAGGTTTATGTTGACTTCTCCCCCCTGAGTAATTTGAGAAGTGTTTAAGCGGATTTTTTGTGACCCCTCAGTTAGCCGCTGACAAATCTGGTCCTTTATCAACAGGTACCTCTTCAGTGGGACTAGGTTTAATCCGCTTCTTCGAAATTACTCCTATACTACCTACAACCTCCATATATCTTGGTGCCGTGTTGTTGCAATGACTCCCAATATCCTCAATGTATATATAGCTTAAAATGGTTATGGGATGAACATTCATTACATTGCACCATAGTTTGACGTTAATGATATAAATTTAATTTATTGTCAAGTCCGTCACGTAATTGTTTGTGCACCTCCGTAATTCACTGAATTGCATTTGTGAGTTATCCTTATGTCACTCGCATAACCATATCAGGTTGACCAACAGAAAGAGGTCTGGTGGACGCAGTCCACTGGTCTTCCAAGATTGTGAGAACATTTCTGGCGACTTACTCCTTAATACTCGGACTGTGGTAATCTTGCACCGATCACTGTTGCCTTGTGATGGGACATTTGAGTCAAAAGTTTCGCTTAGGGATCTAATCGTCCTCCTTCATCGGTTTGGACGTCCTAGTAGCGCCCCAGCCCGTGTTCAACCATCAGTTCCTCAACCACAATGACTTCATGTCATGTCATCCGTCGCCTGGGTCAAAGATGGCTCGTGGCTAGTGGCCTATTTTGGCCACTACATTTGTGGGGCGTAAAAAAGCAATTCCATTGGAGCCTAACCAAATGAATTAATCCTTCAGCGGTTCAACATTCGCATGAACTATCCATTTTAGTTGAAAAGGTTACAATGCCATTTATGCGCTTTTTCTGAACCTGACGAATTCAGCACCCTGAACAAATCAAGTGTGAATTCTGTTGATGGTATGTGAAAAACGTGCAGCTCCATACTGCGCAAACAATTCGAACCGATCCCTTTTTGACTGACTGAGTGAGGTTAGCTACGGTCTCGCAAATGGCCACTCTAGTAGTACCGGTTTAAGAGCTTTTGGTTATTTAGGAGAAGCATTGTGGAGTCCAAATGCTTCTGTGTGTCGTGGACCGGCCTTCTCGGTGGTTCATCCAGTGGAACACTCGCCCGGTAATCAAGTTCGTATTTTTTAGTCTCACCACCGATGCCTGTTCAGACAAGCGATCTGGATGCAAAGTTCGCCTCTTCATCCGCACTATGTGCAGCTGGTGTCTCATTGGGACATATCCGAATTCTCCCCTTCCACTCACCGTTCGTCATTTAACTTTTCTGATATTTCCTGGGTTCGAACCCGTATTCTTTTTCTGGAAACGAAGATAAACATCAGTCTGGGGCAATATAGCACCAGCTAGCATAGATGTATTTAAAGAACTTCAGTGGACGAATATTTCACTAGATTCCAGGGGCTAGTATACCGTGCATTTTTAATCGCTATCGACGAACTCGTATGCTTTATGTTTCCAATCCTTCTTCTGGCTTATATCTCTGACTTCCACATTGTTCTTTCTGTGGTGGAGGTTAAAACTTTTGCCAATTGGACCAAGACATACTTATCTTTCGAAACCATCCATATCAAATGCGTTGTTAGGTAAGTCTGGACGTTTCTGGAGCTTCAACAGATGCTAACGTCGCTCAAACTTACAACTACGCCACCCATTTTCTTTTTCCTTGACATTACAGTGTGGCGCAAAGCCGTTTGTCTTCCCAGTGTTCTCTATCGAATTCACAGCCTTCTGCTTGCCGAAGAGCTTCGTCGTCGAATAGCTTACGAAACTGGCTTGGGCCGAGCTCGACTACCTCGCCCCAGAAGTATAAACAGCAAGGGTTGGTACGACCACAGCAGTGATCTCGACAGACATTCTCAAGACTCAGGGTTTCAGTTGTTTGAGCCGTTAAAATTAGTTTTCCCTCTTCAAGTAGAATCCGCAGATTCGCGAGATCCAACGGCGAGTGGCACAGAGCGCGGACAAAATGTCGTTGCGAAACGTCGACGTCGACGGGACCGCCACATCCGGGGTGTAAAAGAGGATATGTTCCGTGCTGGTATGTTTTAAAATGCCATCACTGAATTGCTACATCACGCCACACGTTTTCGGATCTGTGCTAGACCCCCGTTATGTATGTATTCGAGCACATAGTATGTGTTTACTACATTTTATCGCTACGAACGTACGCGACCACTTTGGTATTTTCTGAATTAGATGTTTATAGGTGACTGGTAAGCACATCCTTCAGGAATATCGCGGACTTGGTGTCCTGCTTCAGTTGCAGTCACTAATAAATTAACCTGATTCCACTTGTTTTTAGTCAGTCATCCAGTCGCTGGTGAATTGTTCTGCCTAATGCATTTTACCTCAAACCCAACGTCGGTTCTGGCTTAGAGCCAGTATCCATTCAGAATAAAGTAACACCAATCCATAGGGCTTCAATATTTAGCGCAGCAGCAGGTTACTATCCCTGCACGCCTTTTCCTGATATTACAGCCGGAGTTACTTTGCCGCTGGTAGGTAGGTTGTAACCGACAACTGAACTAAAGAACGGTGCAGATTTATCGAAAATAGTCGCCTCGAAGCTGATGGACGTTGTAAAATTTTTCGTAATCTCTCCTTTTTCTGTAAGTTTTTATCTTTTATTCCAGACAAGGTTCAACTATTTTCGGACTGGGCAATTAATTTACCCCAGATATTTTTCCCCACTTGATCGGTCTATGTGATTCTAAACGTATTTACAG